ATAATCGCTGAATATCAATTTTAATTTTTCTTTATTTAAGAAAAAAGAATTGTGACCCATTCGTTACGTGAATTTGGTGCCAGTTTTATTACGAACTAGCAGCATTACCCGGCGTTGCCTGGGTTTATTCAAAAAATGACCACGAACCTCAACCAATCTGAAAAGTTAAAATAAAGAAGATTTTCCTTTAGTGCCTCTTATCTATATGGCGAAAAATTATAATGACATGAAGTGTGAAAACATTTATAACAAGAGAAAGTTGTTTTTTACAGAAGCACAGAAGATAAAAAAATTTGTCAGCAAATGAAGAGTACATTAATCGCAATCGCTCTTCGAAAATTGTTGAGGAGAAATGCTTTGTTGACAGCTTTTGCTCAAACTACATCGAATGAACAACATGCATTGGAAGGAGAAGAAATTCAACAAAGACTTCTCCTAGCAGCCGTACCAAGGCGGAAAACCAACGTTCACAAAGACTGTATAGAATTGCTCTTTGGCCCTCAGTTTCGACAGCTCGAGTAGCAGAAGTTCTGGCAGCGTTCCTTCCTCGTCTAGTTAACCGTTGCTCATTAGTTTCTGCTGACCTTGCATTAGCTGTATGAATAGCATTTTGTGTCAGTCTAATTTGAGTTTCTTGTTGCGAAGCGTTTCTTTGTGTTTTCATGCGTTTGGCTGTAGTAGTAGCACACGTCCAAGTGAAGGATTTCGCTTTCTTGGCATTACTGTCAGGCTGTAGGGGTATGGCTAAGCTTTTTGAATAACAGTGAAGTAATCAGTTAAAACGCAAGAATATTATAGGCATTAATGGAAATATAGCCACAATAAATTAAATGCAAGTTTATAAGGGAGACCACGGGAACGTGGTAAACAATTATAAGCAAGCTCGTAAAGTTAGGACAAAAAAAATTAACGTGAAGCTAGAAACCTATTCATTATGAAAGTTAAAACGTACACGCTAAGTTTAGCATAATTATAAATGAATCGAAAGAGGGTCGTTACATTATTAGAAGTGCATTTTTCAGAATAAAACTGTCAACATTTTAGGGCTCAAGTTTCCAAATATATGAGTTAGTAAGCATTATTTAAACGCTGATTAGAAGATGATAAATACATAATTAAAAATTGGCATTTACGCTTAAACTTTTTTAATAATATGATTTTCACAAATTTAAATTTAAAGTATCAAAAACTCAAAATAGACATGCATGAAGGCAGCCTACCTTTTTACTGGATGACAACTTTGATGCGAATGAGATTTTTTGCATTTATTTCATCACATAGCATTAATGAATACTACACGTGTAGTACGCACTACATAACTCGATCGATCATTGCACGTGGAGCAAAATCAATTGTACACACTACACATCTCGATCGATCTCGCACACGCGTCTTATACCTACGTGCACTTCTCTCATCGGTGCACACTTTCGTTTACACTTATTCTTTTTTCTTAAGGAGGAATATAATTTTTGCCATCAAGTTAATGCAAACTAAACTATTTCAGTACCAAAACGGGAAATCCATGTGAAAAACTGATATTTTTCATAATGCATTTATGACACATGGGGTATAAGTTTTGATTTTGAGTTGATTATTCTAAACAAAATTTATGTGAAAATTTTCATCGGAATGCTGCTAACCACTACAATTGAAAGACTAATGGGACAGAAAGGTGTTCATGGATCATCTTGGGGGCTCCTTATGTAGTTTTCAAAATCTGATAATCATTTTTGATTCATTTTATGATTGTAACATACATGTAAAATTCCGTCGAAATCGAAGCAATCTGAAAATTTGGGGGTCCCTTTGGTTCACCCTAGGGGTCCGAAATTTCAAGCCAAAGGACAGGTTTAAGACTAATAGTAATTGAAATAATAAATCACATCTTTTTTAAGTTTTCAATTTAATTGGCTTTATGGCCAAGGATGAAAATTTTCGGGTTCCCTTCTGGTCCACTAACTCGTGGGGATCCCAGTGTTGATTTTCAGTGAATTTCAAGTGACTACTTCAGTTACTCGATATAATCTCAATATGTATTGAAATTTTCGCTGAAATTGGGGAATAGTGCTACAAAATACACTTGAAAAGCAATTGAGGCAACAAGGGGTTTATAGGGTCATCGTGGGGGCCCCCTCATGCATTTTTAAAAATCTGACAACCGATTTCTATCTCACAGTTAGAGCGTAACAAACATGCAAAATTTCATCAAAATCGAAGCAATTTGAATTTTTTGGCGTCCCTTTGGGGCACCCTGAGGTTCCCAGTATTGAGAGAAACGAAAATCAATATAGCGTATAATAGGCGTGACAGAAAGTTGCATACACTAAAATCGGCCTCAGGGTTTAGACTTTAAGTCTGAAAGTTTAAAAACAACCAAACTAATAGAAATTCCCTTTTAAACATTATATTTATCGATTATCGGTTATTGATTTTTGAAAAATGACTAATTTTTTTGCCCAGACACATCCAGTATTTGGTGGAAATATGCCTTATGGTTCTTGAGTAGTTCGCGAACACACACACATACACATATGGTTTTATATATAGAGAGATTACTTTTTGATACTTCTGACAAATCGAGGCATGTTAAACTTTTAAATAGCTGGATTTTGTCATGAAATTTTACTCGACTTTATTCCTTAACGACAAGATGACCAATTTTCAAATCTAAATGGCTTCTTCTCCATTTAAAACACGACATTTATTAGAAAATATATTCGGTTGAAATGCAGAAGGAGTCATAAAAATGTCTTCATAGGACCGCATATTTCAGGGTACCCTCTTCTGTTATTCAGAGGTTGTTGCCAGACAGAAAGGGAAATTAACCCTCACAACACAGATGTAGGTTTCAATTTCATTTAAATTGTGCGTGCCTGTGCACGTCTGCGCGTGAAAGTCTGCCTGTGTACATAAACACACCACACACACCCACACACACATATATATATATATATATATATTTAAATTCAATAATTGACTTAAAAATATTTCTACAAAATTAAAAAATTAAAAATAGTTCTATTTATTATCGAATAATTTCCGAAAAGTTCAATAAAAGCTTATAATAATCCGATTTTTGTTTTAGGATTTGAAAAGAAATAAGTTTTTTTTCTTTTGTCTCATACTTCATGATTTTATTACTCAGACAATGTTTAGGGTTAGTCCAGACAGTGTTAGAGGGGAATGTATTATTATTGGAATGCCTTGCTTCAAACTTAGCTAAACTGTCTGTGTGTATGTGTGTGTGCGTTTGCGTGTGCATACATTAAATGGCACCAACACATGTAAGTCACACACGCACATCTCAAACATTACAAAGTGAGGCAAAAGTCGGTTACCATAGGTGTTAACGGATGAGGCGAAGAAGTCCTCTTGAGTGGCCGCCGAGGCCACCAGACCTCACACCCTTAGATTTTTGGGGGGCCATTTGAAATCAGTTGTTTATCAGACGCTCCCATGAAATATTGAGGAAAGAATTAAATATGAATGCAGAAAAATGACAGAGGAAATTCTCCGATGTGTTAATGAATCATGCAGGCACAGAATTGAAATGTGTTTTGAAAAAGAAGGAGGACATTTTGAACAGCACATAACAGCACATTAAATAACTAGTAAAACAATTAAACAACAAGTAATTAAAATTTTCATGCGTAAGAATCGGAGAATTAACTTGAACAGGTTAATAATGTAGTATTCAAGGAAGTACTCATGCATACCACAAAGTAGCAATTCTTTGGTAAAAAGCTGTGTAGGTTGAACTTCTTCCATACAATTGGAATACGGAGAAAATTGGAATACTGAGAAAATGAGAGAGATTCATGTAAGTAGGCCTAGCTGTAAAGGTCTGAACAAGTGAAACTAAAGGATGGAGTCCATCTGAACATTTTACACGGAGATAGCGATAGGTTTGCACTTGGTAGAAAGGAGGATACAGTATAAGTCATCACTTACAAGGCCGCGTAGTGATTTTCCAAGCGTAGCTTGGATGTGGCACAAGGCCGAAAGTAAGGGGCATCCAGTGAGGATCGAACTCACTACTCATTCGTAATTGTCCTAGCGAGACAAGCTTGCTAAACATCACCCCACCTCGAGGTGCCCCTTACAAGGTTGCGTAAACCATAGTGAAATCTATCAAGTCTGGAAAATGGCGTCCTGATTTTTGACAGCTCCGGTCAAGATTGCTGACAGCTCCCGTTTAAATTGTTGACACTTCCAGTCCAGATTGTTGACAGCTCTAGTCCAAAGTGTTGATAGGTCCAGTTCAAATTGTTGACAGCTCCAGTCCAAACTGTTGACAGTTCCCGTTCAAATTGTTGACAACTCCATTCCATTCAATTGTTGACAGCTCTCGTTCAAATTGTTGAAAGCTCCAGTCCCGATTGTTGTCAGCTTCAGTCTATATTGTTGAGAGCTCGAGTCCAAATTGTTGACTACTCCCGATGAAATTGTTGACAGCTCCAGTCCAGATTGTGACATTATCCTTAATTATAATAAACAGCTTTTTTCTGTATTTATCTGTCGCAATCTTTTCTCAATTTCTGGTTTAAATTCACAGTCATTTCCTTTAGATTCTTTCGTGTCAAAAATTGCATTTTCTTGCGTCGAAAGGATTTAAATTGATATCTTGCTTTTTGATAGAAAAACAGAATATAAACTCCACATTGGTCTTAGCAAACAAAATAAAAATTGATAAGAAACGATCATGCTGTAGGATTAGCTCAGGAGACATTGCATAACGTACACTGGGAATTGATGTAAAAAAGCACTATATAAGAAAAGGACACAAAATCTCTTTTCTCGCTGTTTTCTCTCTCTTCGCCCAAAGGATGATGTAGCGACAAGACGTGTCTTGTTTCCTTTCTGCGAAACTTCTTAGTCCCCAACGAACCACCTATCACAGATTACCAAATAATATCGCATGATTTACAAAATGGTGTTCTCCCAATAAACTGGTCATTCCCGCAACAAACCGATAACCTTAACGATGGAAAATGCCGTTACAAACTACAGGCTCCTACGGTATTCGGTGTGTGAAGAGATAAATAGATAGATAGATAAAGAGAGAGAGAGAGAGAGAGAGAGAGAGAGAGAGAGAGAGGAGGGAGAGGAGGGGGGGGGAGGGAGGGAGAGGGAGTGTTTCTACCCTCTTCTTTTATGGTGCTTTTTACAACGCTACTTAGCGTGCGTTATATAAGTCTTGTGGCGTACAAGGTGAGGTAATCCCATAATACTTCAATGCATTCTAAAGATTTCTTCTATCGAAATCCAGATCTAATTGGCTATTAATATTGCCTTGCTGCCTATAAGTAGGCTGGTGTCGTGGTGTCGTAAATATCTCGAGACCAAAGCATTCACGTTCTCTACCTTATTGATATTCTTGAATCCCTCACTCACACAGACACAACCCCCCCCACACTCTCTGTCTGTCTGTCTGTTTGTCTGTCTGTCTGTCTGTTTGTCTACATGGCCTCTCTTCAAGACGTGGAGGACCATGGCTCACCACAGCTGCTTTTTTGTTGCTTATGGCGATATATTTTCCTTTCCGACGCTTCTTTGTCTTTGTAGTATTTGTTCTTGGATCCATTTATTCAAACATGTCCAGCAGATAATCCGCTATGTCTTCCTGCGCTCGATGCCCTCTGTGAGTGTCAAATTCTTCAATCCTTCTTTCCTCCGAAAATTTTCAAATATTTCTCATTGTTACCAATATTTTCTTCGTAGTTCATATCATCCTTAAAATTTACCCCATTTGTCACATGCTCCGCTCGTGGTTTACTGAACCCTATTTCAATCATTTCAAGTTTATTTCTTGCATTTGCGACGAAATCGTCGTAATATAAATGAGTTGTCTTTCTCTGACCCCAACCTCATGCTGATTCTTGGCGCAGATAAAGACACGCACTCACACTCCGCTAGCCAAGGGCTACTAGCTGACGTTGTATACGTCCAGTCACGAATGGAGGAGAGACTTGAGGTAACAGGATACTGAGGAATAGCATGGACTGAACATGTGAGCAATAGCGATGTTTTAAAGAAAATGGAAACGAAAAGTGTACTTATACAGAGTATCAGCAAGAGACAATTGAAGTTTCTAGGGTACATAATGAGGCAAGAGGGTTTGGAAAATTTGACACTCACAGGACATACTGAAGACAAGAGAAACAGAGAAAACCCACAAATTACCTACCTAACCTTGTGTAAATGGTTAACAGAATTGGTATTAGAGATAGCAAAAGAAAAGATTTAGCAAGGGCTAAAAGAACAGGAAATTGTGGAGAGCTGTGATCGCCTACGTCCTGAAGAAAGATGGCACATAGAAGAAGAAAAATAATTATCCTGTCTCCCGCAGTCGTTTTCTTTGTTTGACAGTGACCTCTACTTTGAGGTTTGATAGCAAACAAAACCCATAACATTACAGAAATTGTCTCATATTTACTGTCATTTACAGCGTGTCCCGAAAATCTTGTCACCCATATATTTTTTTTTTTTAAGCATTACGCCCCAAGCAAGGCGTGAAGCCACTAGGATGCAGGGGGTTGCGGAAGCGAGAGCAGATAGGAGAAAGGATGGAGAGAAGGATAGTGGGTAGATCAAGGTAACTGAAGATGTCGATTGACATTGCATTTGAATAGTTGGAGATTATAGCCTTCAGGGAAGCAGTAACTGGGGAGGGTGTTCCACTGGCGAGAGGTGCGAGGTATGAAGCTACTGGAGTAGAAGAGACGGCTACATTTGAGAGTTTCTACGGTGTAAGGGTGAAGCGGGATGCCAGCCTCGTAGGGTGCTTGAATTCATGGAGTCTGGGAACCAGTGAAAGCAGCTCGTCAGAGCAGTTACCATGTAAGTATTTGTAGAAAAGACAGAGAGAGGCGACGGCGCATCTGTGAGAGAGTGACTGTAGACGAGATGACAGATCAGGGCCAATTAGATTACATATCCGTCTCTGGATCTTGTCAAGAACTCCGAGGTAAGCAGAAGGTGCCCCAGGCCATATATGGCAGCAATACTCCATGCAAGGGCGAATGGTTGTTTTGTATATTTGAAGTATAGATTCAGGGGAGAAAAATAATATAATTTTCTATTTCAACGTTCTATGGGGGTATTATCAAGGAGAGAGTTTCACATGAACAATACCAGAATACACACCAGTTGAAGGACGCCGTTCGGAGTGCTTTTGCAGCAATCAGCAATCAAACATCCTACAGGACATGGCGCCACGAAAATGATGGTATCTGTCTATATTTCTGAGATGAGGTATTATGTACACTATTGCTCGGACTATCATCCTCATCTTTGTTGCCATATTTATCACAACGTTTCGGCCGTTGTACACTCCTCAAGGACAAATTGAACAGTGGATAAAGGCGTTAGTTAGATCCAATGACAGGACCCAAAGATTTAATACCTGGTTAAGGCGGTGAAGAACTTGGAGAGGGGAATTAACAGGAGATAACTGATAACTGACATCCATTAGACCTGGCACGTGGAACTAGAACAGTCTACCCCAGCGAGTGAAATAAAGGGTTCAATTCAACATTCGAACCACCTGAAGAAGGCCGGAGCGTACAACGGCCGAAACGTTGTGATAAATATGGCAACAAAGATGAGGATGATAGTCCGAGCCATGTAAATAGTGTGAAAATGATGGTGTTCATACAGGCCTTCTCGATGTGTGACAGCGTCAATGAAAGTGAATAAACTGAATTCAGTAGATGTGCTTTGTATTACTGTATTAATTGTTCTTCTATTGTTAGCATTACTTTTAGGTGGGAGTGACAAGACTTTTGGACCACAGTGTAGATCAGATAGTACATCACCTTTTTCGTTTCTAAAGTTACTTTTCAATTCTTTAATAAGATTTTATCTAAATAAATCTTAAACTCTCTTGTGATTACATACAAATCTTTTTATAACGGACCAGTGTAAACAAAATCATTCCTGACAGAAAGAAATGCGGAATACGCGGGGCGGATAAATTCGGCTAATTGGATGAGTTAACAGCGAATAAAACAATAAAATAAAGCAAAAAAAAAAAAAAGAAGGAAAGAAAAATACGGTTTTTGATTTTGGAAGGTGACAGAAAGAAAAATACAGTGAAATAATCGTTGAAATTTCTTTTTTGTTTTGACATGTCAGTTCAGTCGAGTAATAAGAAATTGAAGGTTATCTGTGTTTCTTGGATATTTCTCATCTCTTTCGCATTTAAAAGACGTTTTGAATCCTCACCGGGGTGAGTCATGCGGACGTAAACAAAGTAAAAAATTAACAATTTATAAAATAGATATGCCTTTTGTGTGGGTGTTTCTTTTTCTGTCATTTCACACTTCTCAATTTTTCTTCTCCCTCCCCCCTCTCTCTCTCATATATATATATATATATATATATGCACACACACACACACACACACACACACACACACACATATATATATATATATATATATATGCGAGGACGGACCCACTTCCCAAAATCTGAACAAATTACCAAATATAAGATATTTGTGGGACGGGCTTCTTGACCGCACCGAATTTTCACCACTCACCCCGGCATATATATATATATATATATGAAAAAGAAGTAGTGGGCATTAATTTGATATCTTTTGTACATCTATAGTGAATGTTATAAATCAGAAGACTGTATAGCGCTTCACAATCTTTCTGAATTAAAATTAATCATTCAAAAGTTTGACATTTATTACGACTTATTTGTCGACTTTTGATACTAGTAGTAAAAACAATGCTTTAAGAATCAGAAGACAAATACTTAGAGAGAGAAAGAGCGAGTGAGACAGAGACAGAGAGAGAGAGAGAGAGAGAGTGGGGGGAAAGGAAGAAGGATAGACAGACTGTAATCGAGACAGACGACATCAAGCAAGATAGATAGATAGAAAAAGAGACACACACACACACACACAGATAAACTGATAGACGAGCAGACATGCAAACTGTTATCGAGACAGACAGAAAACAGTAAGCGGGCAAGTGAGATAGATAGATAGATAGATAGATAGATAGATAGATAGATAGATAGATAGATAGATGAGACGGACGAACGGATAGACTGACAGATAAGTGAGAGGGAGAAGCAGAGCGAGAAAGAGAGGGAGAGGAAAGACGGTCAAATTGGCTGTAATCAAGACAGACAACAGTAAGAGAACAAGAGAAAGAAAGAAAGAAAGAAATGAGACGAACGGTCAGATAGCCAGCCAGCCAGCCAGCCAATCAAGAGACAGAGGTACAGAGTTAAAGAGATAGAGAGAGAGAGAGAGAGAGAAGTGAGGGGTAAAAAAGAAAGAAAAGTTCTGAGTGAGTGTTAATTTTAGCTACCGCAGGGTCATTTGCCATTTGTTAAGTTTGTCAAAGCAAAAAAAAAGCTGTTACGGTCTTTTGGTGGATTCTTTTCGTTTCTATTTTTTTTTTTTTTTAAGAACTCAACTCCCTAAATGTTTGATGAGATTCGCAGACACTTCGGGGGATTCATTTCTTTTCTACCGATTTGTTATCAGGGAGTGGTTCCTTAGTTCATCAAGTGTAAGTGTCAACATTAATAGGAAAACCGAAGCCCCCGAAACCGCTGTTCAGACAGAACGATCGACTGTCAGCTGAGACCCGTTTCCATTTTCCAGGGAATGAGTTAGCCCCTTAGAAGTGAGGATTTTTTTTCATTTCATTATTTTTTAATCAAATATTTATTCTGCGCAAGAAGTTTTGACAGTGGGATTTTTCTTTAACAGAAGTTTCAAGAAGCGTTGACTAACGAGTAACGACAAACGGCTGCATAGCAATTTAAGTTTTTGACACTTAATGCAACGCAGCAAAGTTTTTTACACTACGAACTCAACATAAACATCTCACTTTATTTATTTATTTATTGTAACGAAAGATCGACAATTTGAATAGTTTGGATTTCGGGCACGTGAAGTCATTATTTATACAATTTACTGTCCTCATCTTTGTTGTTGCTATCCCAACGTTTCGGTTTTTGTACCCTCCGGCGTTCTTCAGGCGTCCATCGATCCAGGTGAGCTTTAGGGGATTTTGAACTGAACCGCGTTAGATTGTTCTTATTCCGCTGACCATGTCTACGAATATCTCGTCTACTACTTATTTAGTGCTTCTCAGTCATCGCTCGCCTTGTTTCCACTACGCGGTCCAGGGATTGAAATCACAATTACTATCGCACTAAATTCACGAGCTAACGCTTCAAGATAAGGACAATAGTCCGAATGTAAATAATCTCAATAATTTTCAAATTCTTTGCTTCTAATTTTGTTATTTATTTGCACACAAAATGAACATGACTTGCATCAGCTTCCAAAAGACATTTTCAAAAATCATTACTACCTAAGCAAGGCGATAAAGCCTCTAAGACGCTAGAGGTTACTGAGAGTGAAAGAAGGAAGAAAGTCATTAAGAAAAGATACAAGAATAGAATAGGTATTCTAGCAGACAGAAGACACACACAAAAATACACACGCATATATATATATATATATATATATATATATATATATATATATAGAGAGAGAGAGAGAGAGAGAGAGAAAGTGAGAGAGAGAGAGATTTACTAGGACTGTTAATGAAATTTGAGGAATAAAACACAAAATAATAACAGTATTGGAAAAAATTGATGATATTGATTATATATGTATATATGATATATATTTCATATTAGGGCTTTTGACTGAATTGAATCACGATGAGAAAGATTTTAAAGTCGGAATTTTCGGACACGATTGTGTCAGCGAGACGTGAAATAAACAAAGAAGTGTGACTCACTCTTTCGGTGAATGTTGTTGTTTAGAGCCCCCACCGCGTGGAAACTATATTCTATGAGTAAACCCAAAGCCCTGTTTAATCCTTCAATATGTCATTAAACAGGGATTGTCTTTTTATTCTTCAAATTTTATTAACAGGTCTATTAAATCTATGTATTATGAGAAGCACACGTAGACGATCTTTCATTTCAATCATATGTATATATATATAAACATTTCACCTCAAGTAAGGCAATAAAGCCACTAAGACGAAAGGGATTACTAAGTGTTAGAGATTATGAGAAAAATACTATTAAGGAGATAGAAAAATAAAAGAATAGAAATTAAGAAGACAGAAGATAACGATTGACATTGCTATCAAATTTATCTGGTAAACAAAAATCTGGAAGCGTGTTCTACAAGCGAGAAGTGCGAGAGGAAGAAACTGTTAGCATAGCACTGGTTACAGCTAACAATCTCAACTGTAAAACGATGAGACCTAGTTGCCAATCTAGTACTACGTTCAAATTCATAAAGTCAAGGGACTGAAGAGAAAAGCTCATAAGTAAAATTACGATGAAAATATTTTTAGAAAATCACAGAGAAGCTATATTACAGCAGTGGGAAAGTAACTGAAACCGAGATGCCAGACCAGGACCAATAAAATTGCAGATTCTTCTTCTTTGTCAAGAATCTGTAGATACATAACAGACGCACCAGACCAGATATGACAGCAATATTCAATACACGGACGAATGGTTGACGTATAAATGCGTAAGATAAATCGTCTAGAACGACATAGCGACCAACTTTCCTAGCAGGAGATCTAGCAATTGATTCAATATAATCGTTCCACTTCAAACCAGTGGCAATCGTTAGCCAGAGAAGGTACAATAAGTCACACTTCTGGAGGTTAGTATCAGCTATGCTGATAAGGCTACAATCTTCAATGCACGGACGAATGGTCGATTTATAAATGTGCAAGATGGGTTCTGACAAGAATAATTGTCTGAAACGACACAGTGAACCAACTTTCCTCGTAGCAGCGAATCTAAGAATTGATTCAACATAATCGTTCCACTTCATGCCAGTGGAAAGCATAAATAAAGATGGCCTTTATTCATGTAGAAAAAATATTTATCTGAAACAATAGTACTCAATTTGTTGTTGATATCTGAATGTTCAGCAATAGTTTTAGTCCAGAATCCCGGGCTCTTTTCCTAGAGTAGTTGCTATATCAAGCAAATTTTGAAATCCATTGTAAGTTCAATGCTCAAAAGACGCTGCATTGCTGCAACCTTGTAACAAACTTAATGCAGAATCATGGCGATGTTAAATCGTGGCAGAATAATAAATGTCAGATAATCCTAACAATTGCCAGAAAAATATAGAAAAATGATTCAACTGTGAATGAATTTAAGTGTTCATGAATAAGACCTGGAGTATTGCAGATTTTACGAGTAAAATGACAGGGGACCTGAGAAAATTGTTCAAGCTTAGCTCTAAATTTTAACTCCGATCATAATGTATTTCCTTCTGGTATCTTTAGGAATCATATTTGGGGAATGAAAGGTTTATTTGAATTTGTTTTATTCCTAAAATCCTTTCAGGACGTAGGTGATGATAACTCTCATAGTTTTCTTTTTCTTTATTATGTGTGTATAGGGTACAACTCGCCCAGTGGCGTCCACCATCCGCACTCTTCTGTGACTCCTGTTCACGACTCTTCAGGAATAGGCTGGGCCTTCGCATCCATCTCCGTCACCGCCACCAGAGGGAAGAAAGGGATTAAGGACAGATGATGACGAACTCGATGCTCTATGCCGACGTGTATTGTCACGACGCCATGGGAAATATAGCAGAGTGGTTTCTCGTTGCCTTCTCCACGATTCGAAATTCATAGTAGTTCTCTTAGACTGAACAATTCTTCTCTATGGTTGTGAGACCTGGCCACTGCGTAGAGAGGATCTTCATAAGCTTGAGGTCTTCGATCACTACTGCCTCCGCCGTATCCTGCGCGTGCGCCTCTCCGACCGGATCCCCAACTCGTCCATCCGCGCCAGATGCAACATTCTGGGCCTGGAAGAAACTCTGCTTAACAGGAGACTCCGGTGGTTCGGCCACGTGCTGCGGCGGCCTGATGATGAGTTCGTCCGTAAACTGGTGGCGCCAAACGCACCCACTGGTTGGAGGAAGCGCCTAGGTGGTCAACTCAAGACGTGGCTCACAACGGTCAAAGCAGATATGTCCTCGCATTTTCGGGGTCCGACGCTGGAATCGCGAATGGCTCAATCATGCCGTCGATTCTGCTGCCGATCGACAGAGGTGGATGGCTTTGACGCGCGATGCGGTTAATTCAATTGGAGCCAGCTCAAGCCACCCCGGGTGAATGCCGTTACATGACAAGAGAAGTCTTAGACTGACTGCCATCTAAAGCTAGAGGGCCGAGTTTACACTAATAATTAACCCACAGCAGGTTGGAGTTGTGAAGTGATTGATTTGTGCCTCTCCTAAAGGTCTCAATGTGTAAGTGAACTGCTCACTGATTTCACTCTCTACGCTGATAGCCGTTGCACTAACTTGGTAGTAGTCTATATAAATGCCGAAGTAAAAACTAAAATTTTGAATGATGATTTTTAAAGTAGAAAGGCCACACATTCTTGAAATATTTGCGCAACAAAACCTTCAAGACTAGTAGAACACAAGAAGAACAAAATCTTCTAATGCTGAAGAATTTCCTCCCCTGGTTTCGTTCTGAAACACACTAAGCTCCTAAGTTATATGTTAAATGTAGTTTTATTTTCTCAGGTATCATCGTTTTAATCAGACAAAGTTTGATTCTGTTAATTCACCCCAAAATATTAATTCACTTCAAAATAAAAAAGAATTTATATTTATAAAAAATTCACACCAAATTCTCATAGAGCGAGGCCCTACTATTGGTTGGGTTGACCTTTGTGATCGCCCCAAATGTGGGCAACTCGGATGCACTATTTGTAAGTATGCGGTCTTTGTCCGCGTTAACTCCGATAAACACGTCAAAAACTGATATTTTTCATTTTTTTTTTTAAATTTAAAAAAATTCCTTGTAAGTACTTCGAATATCATCCACACTTACGAAATATGAATAACTCCTGATTTTTGGTAGTGATTTTCTAAGCCAGGCTTAGATGTGGTACAGGGCCGATAGTATGGGACACCCAGTGAGGATCGAACTCACTACTCAGTCGTAATTAATCTAGCAAGACAAGCCTACTAACCCTTACAACACGTCGAAGTGCCCCCCCCCTGAATTTTGGTAATTTTTTATTCTGTCGAAATGAATTCGACTGAAAAGACCGGCGTGGAGTTGGTGAATGACCGGGTTGCAAAAGAAAACGTCCTTCCTTTGTGACCCTCTCCGCTAGGGTCAGGTAACCACAGTAATAACAGACAGGAACAAATAATAACAACTTGTTTCGCTGTTGGGCAAAAAGATGACGAGTATGAGATGCAAAGATTTTTATAACATACCTTTGCCCTTACCTCTTCCGTCAGTTCAAATGGAAAGCGACTAAAGCGGAAGAGAATGAGGCGTTCGCGCCTTAGGACCCCCCGGTCGACATCGCCGCTCCACTCACATGTCTATTCATAAATTTTTGCTTAGCTGGCCAGATAAACAAATTTTGATTTAAAATTTATAATTTCAACAAAGTGCCAAGAATTTAATAAAAAACAAACTTTGATTTAAATTTATCATTTCTTGGGGTGAATTAATATTTGCGATATGTAACTTTACATTATTTGGGGGTGAATTAACAGCAAAGATTAAGGTCTCTTTAGTTCACTAAGTCAAATCATTTCATTTGCATTAATTTCAATTTATTTTTCAATTATTATCACATTACGTTGAAATACCGGCCCTCGTCCGATCACCTAAATTAAGCAACGCCGAACCTTGTCAGTACCTAGATGGGTGACCTCTTGGGAATACCAGGTGCCGTTTAGCTTGGATGTGTGGGTGATGTAATGGAATTATGGCTCTGAATTGTTAATCAGAGAACCGAGTTCTAATTCCTGTCAGGTTCGTTATATTCACTTACGCGCAAATATCCTTGGGAAAGATATGAATCTACCTCTTCTCCCCCTAGGTATGGGTTAATTAGTAAGACTTGTATCACTAAATTATTATTATCCGCCAAAAATTCTAAAAATATTTGCTGGTTTTAAATAACCTACAAAGGGTTGATAAGGCGTCAAAAAACGAAACAATTTATTTCTCACTTTCATTTTATAATCCCCCCCTTCTTGTTTTTCTTTTTCTTGTTCAGTGTCGTTCTGTAATTTTCTTTGGGGCACTGGGTGGGTTGTGTGCTGGTTGTGCAATTCGCAAAGATTGAATAGGCACCTCTTTCTGTTCGTCAAGCTTGGCTTATTTAAGCGAACATCTCGATGCTTTTGCGTTATCCCTGTGGGTTTCTGGAAAAATAAAGGCAATCTATTCTATGATTACCCATTCACTTTGGAAGACCCAATTGAATATATTTCCTCTCTTTCTCTAGAGGCATAAATATTTATTTGCAGTACCCGCGGAAATTGTATTAGGCATCCTTGAAATTTACGAACATGGATCCCTAAAGTTTAATAAGACAGATAAAAAGAAAAGTTATTTACACTGGAGATTATTGCCTTTATCCGACTATCAGTTTATGATGTTTCTGTTTACCAAATCTAACTAAATTTGCCACAAGGTTATAGGTTATGAGCCACCCAGTGAGGATCGAGCTCGTTGGTAATGATAAAGATCAGGCGAAATGACTAACCATTATCCCACGTCGAGCCGCCGTTTCTTTACTAAGAGACGGTTAACTTAGTTATGACCCATGACCATGAGTACGGTGCACCCAGTGAGGATCGAACTCACTGCTCTGTAGTAGTCTCTACTCCGTCGCTATTTTCTCGGCAGATGTTTAGACGAACTACATTTCTTAGTTCTACCTGTCAGCCTTTCCCCACCACGAGCCATCATGTTACGTAAACAGGATCGATCTATTCCTATTCTACTGGTAAGAAGGACGTTCCAGTCAGATAACTTCTTCCTTGTGGAACAGACTCCCGAGAGGATGCTCCCCTGGTCACTACGATCTTAACGTCTTCAAGTCTAGTGTCAACCGTTATCTACACTACATATCCTCGTAATTTGCACTTCTTACTTTTTACCCATTTATACCCTGAGAACGACTTCATTTAGTAAATCTTTACCTTGAGTGGCTCTTGGGCCTTGTATTGGGTGAAACACAGTAAAAAGTGATATGTGTGTGTGTGTGTGTGTGTGTGTGTTTATGTGTTTCCACAGTTTTCATCTGATTTCGATGATTTTTTTTGTTTGATAGATAATTCTTCAGTGCCGGTTTTGAGTTCAAATTGTTGGCGACAATGGCTCTCCACCACTTCCTGTCCATTATAATTCTCAGAAACATTTTACTATTTACTATCTGTTCTTGGCTATATATATTTCATAAAAACTTTAATAAAAATACTTAAAACTGTTACAGTAATATTATCCACATCTATAATTCTCAAAATGTGTGTGTGTGCGTGTGCATGAGTGCGCGCGCGTGTGTGTGTGTGCGCACGCGCGTGATAGGATGTTGTTTATGCGTTTCAATAATTTTCATCCGATTTCGATGAAATTTTTTTTGTTTGATAGATAACTCTTCAGTGTTGGTTTTGTATCCAAATTACACATTCCCCTTCTCTTTGTCAAGCAATCAATCTCTCTCAAGTGATGTTATCTTTTCCGTTGCATAAAGCCTACTACTGCAGTTTTAAGGCGTTGCTTTCATTGTCGTTTATAGCCATTCCCAATTTAAATTTTTTTTATTGTCCTACCAGTTTTTGAATTGCATTCACCGTAGTAATAAGTAAGCTTACTTTTTTGTTACTCAACTTCTTTTTTCCAACATTTCTTAAAGTTATTCGAGCTTAGTGATACCTGTAGCTTTACAGTGGTCTCTTCTGGTATTTAACCACGCATTCCATTTGACAATTCTTTTGAAAAAATACTTGCCTAAGAGAAGAACTTACCTAGGTGGCAAAACAGCTGCTGTCAGGTTCGCCATGCGAATAAGAGATAACGAATCGTCTTTACAACGTTCAGTTTGCCTGTCTCAAAATGTCTTTCGGAATGCTTCAGTCACAGCCACTGAGTCCGAAGATCATCGTAGCCATTGGCTTTCCAGAAGAGCATACCTGAACGCTTCTGCGCGCGAGGCTGAAAATGATGAGCAAATGACTCAACAGCTGAGGAGAAACGCTTCTTCAGCTGCTGCTGTGCGGGAGGCTGAAACAAGATTGAGAACGCAAAAACGGCTCTTTTCAGAGCCACCCTCCATTTAAATTGTTAACCCCCCAATTTGGGGATGTGCCTTAGTTGCACCCTATTGTTGCTACTAATATTGATTTTCGGATGGGCTGACTTTAAACTTAAACTGATCCAATTGTACGGTAAAAATTCCCAGTAATAAAAGACGCGATCGAAGACGGGTTATACTGCTATTGATTGTATATAAAAATAAATACAAAACGAAAAAGAAAAAATATTTACCGTGTATATTTGCATATGAGTCGACTCTTTGCATAAATACCCATCCCCACAAAAAGGCATATTAATCTACCCTGATCTCTTCTCCCGAAAATGACAGTCTGATAGAGACGAAGCTACCTTAATTCTTCAGCGAATACAGACCTTCACTTGAATAAACAGTTTGGAATTTTTAGGAGTCGACTTATACACCAGCATTTACGGTAAATATAATCTGTAAAAAAAGACACCCGCTTTGATACGGATTTCTTTGTGCATGGATTTCAGAAAGTCGAAAGACGCAGCTTCAACTATTAATGGACTTCTCATATGTTCGCACAATTATCTCCCTTTATTTTCTCTGTCATGCGTTATACAAATAAACAGTGTTTTATTTCGTGATGCTACGAGAAAAGAAAGATGCCAGCTATTTGTAAAGGAGCACGAATATCAATGTGCCTGTGTTAGGCAAGCATATTAGCGATGTATGTATGCAATAGTTTTATTACTTCAAACGCTATTTTTAGTGGATACCCGTGTTTGAGTAGACACCACGTTTATTTTAATCAGTATTTATTTCGTCTACCTGCCTGCGACCTCGAAAAAAAATAATAAAGAGAATGTGCCCTCCAGGAGGATTCGAACCTGCGTAACTCTTTGCAGGATGTACCATCGTCTGATCTGGCGTGCTTTTACCGCTTGGTTACGATGCATGTATGTATGTATGTATGAATGTATGGTTAGAACGTTCGCTTTTTGACCATGAGACCCGGGTTCGAATCTCACCATGGTCGAATTGTCAGGAAGGAGACTTCCTGATGTTATCGGACTGGATCGAGGTCGATCCCAGGGTGCGGCACCTTTGGAAAGTGCCTGAAAACCATACCATGGGATGACCCAAGCCTTGTGAGTGAACTCTTGGTGTCTGTCGATAGATGTGCTTGCATAAAGCAACAAGGAATTGAGCATGCTGGCCTTGTTCAAATAGGTGATCATGCTAGATAACACGCTCTCTCCCAGAAACTGTAACTAAGGTCTGCTCAGCATAGTTGCAGTATAAACCATAAGTGGGCTCTGTGGGTGTTGAGCAATCACAAATGCGCCTGAGCGTGCGTCTGCAATAGGGATTGGCTTGTCGCCCTAGTAGACGGGTATCCTCGAATGTGAGTGGCCAGCTATGTATGTATGTATGTATGTATGTATGTATGTATGTATGTGTTTGTGTTTGTTAACGTTCATTTTGCTAACTATTATAGTGGAACACACCTATTCTATAGTTAATAGACTGTACCACCTATAATAAGTAGGAGTAGTAAGAGTAACAAGTCAGTGGCTCAGTGGTCCGGTCGGTCAGTCAGTCGACTGGCTGTTCGGTTAAACTCTCTGCTTTCGGGCGGGGAGGAACCCGAACGAGGCTATGCCGAAGAGCAGAGTCTCGTTCGGGGAGGTAAACCGACCCTGAACCCGTTTATACGGGTTCAAAGTGTATATTTTTGGCCGAGCCCACGGGCTCGGAGATCGTTAAACCGGCTTTGTGCCACATGTTACCCTCGTGTGGGGCTGACTAAATACTAGTCAGTCGATGCCGGACGACCGTTAGTCGGATACTAAAGTATCAGCGACCACAACTAGATTTTCTCTGCGTCATTACCTATTATATCAAGTTCCTAACGTTTTGTACGTCGAACCTATTTTAGGACCAACTTTGTAGAAATACAAGCCTCTACTGTGAAACCACTCCATAACACTAACCTACTAAAAGCTCCTGACCTTGAGCTTGATAATTGTTTTACTAATGATAAATAATAAAGCCGATTGCATTCAATTCATTATTATAATAAATATATATCCAGTCTCTACAGGGAAATGTAGAAAATATTTAGAAGACTTTAACTCTTTATAGTAACATTGCAAGTGAGTTTCATCAGCTATAATTTTAGATCGGTAAGGTAAGATTTTAGAAGAATTTGTTATAAAATTGGCTACATAGATTCATGTGTAAAGTATTCAAAACTTCGATTTGTTTATAAAAATATTTTTTCTTAATGTCTGCCGTTTAAACATTTTTGCATGATAAATACTGATTTAACCCATTACCTGCCATGAGCTCCATTTGGGGATCTGTTAAAATTAAAATCACTACATATTATTCCTTGTATTTACATTGAATTGCTTACATACATTGCATTTGCAGAAGTATATTTTACAACACTTAGCCTTTAAAGTTTTTATTATTAGCCGTAACTAATCAAAGAAGACACTTTCTGTCGTAATTTTACATTTCACGAGTAGAAAAATAATGACTATTTTGAAAAGTATTTTTGATTATTTCTAATCAATATTATTTTTTGATGTTTTATACACATATATATTTGATGTTCTAGTTTCTATAAAGTTTCAAAGTACCAGCTATTCGAAGAAA